ACACTGCATTTAGTGTGCCTATTCCTTTTGAGCCTTGTGAGCTGGTCCCAAATTTAGGGCACGTAAAGGATTAATCAAGCTTACACCCAGGACATGTCAGACAGAACATGTCTATATGCTTGTGTACTGAGAACAACTCCATCAGAATCATTTTGTATAGAGAAAAGTCTGCGTACTTTCAAGACAACAAGGGAAACAGTCAGGTGCTTGTGTATTTGGATGATCAGAACACACTAAGTACATCCCAAATTTTCAAAATCATAGGATTGGTTTACAAGGCATGACACTTAAAAAAAATAATAATACAGGATTGGTTTTCTGCCTAGTGATTTTCTAAATCTTTGCTTCTTCATCTTTGACCCACCATCTTAGAACCAGGAAATCTGCTTTTTTTAAGGAAAAAAAAAATAAATTCACATGATCCAGGAGTGAGGCTTTAGAGAAATCCCTGCCAAATATTGTACATTGACAACTCCACAAAAACTTTTGGTTTGGGTCTTCTGCTCCAGAGCAGTTTCAGTTTTGCTTTTCATACATTTATCCAGCACATTCAATATGCAATGAATCTTATACCCTTTCTTCTAAATATGTATATTGTCCTCAACCAGGGTAATGTGAAATATAGGATGTTTGAAAGAAATTCAAGTATCAACTGATTAGACTCAATTTACTACATTCATCAAATGCAATCTTAGTTTTCAGCTGTAAACCCAATCCGGTTGGTATCCAGCAGTAGTTTCACAGGTACATGCTCTGCATTAAAAAATATCTATACTTGCATACATCCCTATGTCCAGAGTTTCAGTACGTTGGACCAAATTCTGCCTTGAATTATACTCCACTGACTTCAACAGAGTTTCCTAGGAATATACATACAGTAGGCTGCTGCATAGCCTACTTCCTTCTCGTTCCTTTAACTGATTTTCCTCCCATTTGGCCCCATTCTTAAAGTCTTTGGCAGGTTAAGAGTTAGGCAAATTATTTGGGAACAACTTGTATTTATGGATCCTCACTCACTTGTGTAAATTTCACAATGCAGTCATCTGAGGTAAAAGAAGGATGTTTGCTAATACCTTACTTAAATACTAATTAACAAGTAAGTTCTAAAGATACAGGTACCTTTATCACTCATGTGCTTCCAAAATGTTTTAAAACTTCGATGGAGCACACAACCTTCTGTTCCCTTCTGAGCAACTAATACTCATTTATACAACACATTGGGTTTCTTTTCTTTCCACTTCATGTCTGCTGTTTGCAAACTGATCCTTATGACTATACAAATTCAAGGCAGTTATACCTTGAAATTCATTGGAATGCCACCAGATCTATTATTTGCAGGAATTTCTAGCTGCATAAATAAAATGCCAACTAATGGAATATTCTAGGCATACAAAGCAACATACAAAGTCACCTGTAATTAAGAGGTGTAAAAAGAGCTGCACTATCTTGTTAGGGAAAAATGATAGGTACAACTGCAATTTCACATAATTCACATAGCAAAGAGCAGAAGTGCATAAATACACACAAAAGCCAGCACATTAGTTCTCAGCATGGACCTAATTACATTTAGTCAGAACAATGAATTGCAATAGATTAGTTTACTCCTTGTAACAACTATTGTATTTTTCTTCATACTTAGCAAATTTAGTCTTTTTGCAGATCTTTTGCTTACACAGGTGCAAATTTCTTCAATTTTTTTACTCTTTCCAATCTCACTAGTGATCTTTGGCTTTTGTTTTGCACGTACCAGAAAGCTACACTCCTCTGCCACCTAGTGCTTTAAAGAAGTGTATTTTATTATTAACTGCCAGCTCTCGCTGGCATAGGATGTTCAACAGAATAGATAAGGACTGTGCAGGAACCTTTTATTAAAATTTGCTTGCCAAGTGGGAGATTACAGAGAAACTTGGTTTATCAACCTCTATGGATATCGTCATTTAGCACTGCCAGAGATCACCCCTGTCTCTGGAGATTTTAGTATGATACAAAATCATTCAGCAACTTGCATCCTTGTATTTTAGGACATTACATAATTTTCCTGGTTATTTCTAAAATGCAAAAAAAAAAAATAATTCTTACATAAAATCCTTATAGAAGAAAAATATAATCAAATATAACATGTATTTAATCATATGAAATTTTCAGACAAAAAAGTGTGTCATTTTCAACTACTAGCAGGTTCCAAATGTATCAAAGTGAAATTTCCCTGCGGCATATAATTTTTGTTTTTAAATGGAATCTGGAGTCCAGCATTAGTAACAATCAGCTTGCTTTTTGTTAGTTTTAATTTGCATTGTTTTGAAAAGCGTATGTTTATATATTAGCACCATTACAATTTATATTTCTTTCAGAATTACATATAAACAGGGTTTATTTCAAGTAACAGACTACGCCACATGTTTTAAAGGAATTCTGGAATTTTTTTAATTTTTTTTTTAAAAAGTAATGGAGCTTCATATTGTCAGTGTTAATAAAACACAGCTACGAAAGTGAGCTTTCCTTTACTCTTCTTTTGAAGGAAAAGTCATTCAAACTGAACTGTTCTGACTCTCACTGAAGATAATTTCTTTTTTGGAAAAACAACTGGTAGTATATCAATTGCATATACAAATCTTCAGTATTTGTCAGTTGTTTCTAATTTTTCTTTTAGAGACTATGAATACCAGATATTTTAATGACTTGTTCCCTCCACATTACCCAGAAACTGCTATGAAACATTATCAAGCATCTCCTCTTGTCTGGATGGCACAAATGCAGTACTAACATAAGGAGTATGGCTGTGAAATGAATCATTACCTAACCGTGACCTGGCAAGTATCTTAAAATGTCTAGTGTTGACACAGCCTAACTTTACTCATGTTTTGCAAGAACTCTATTTGTAAAGTATCCTCATCGTTTCACTGATACTATAATTCAATAAACTAATGCAATATACTGCAAATTATAAGTATTACTCCATTAGCAGAAATCACATTCTCAGTTTAGAGAAAAATAGGTTTTCTTTTGTTTGTTTGTTTGTTTTTTTAAATAATACCTCCGTGTTTCTGAGAAATTAACCCATGACTCTCAACATCCCAGGCTAATTTAGCTTCTTTCTCTACAGAACCTTTGTCAAAAATATAAATATCTAAAAAGCAACCAAGACAGTAAGGTGTAATTCATCCTATAATACGTGGAAAAAGAAACAAAAAAAACCACCTCTCCATAAAATACATACACACCTTTCCCTTGGGACAATATATCTGTCTTATTGCTTGGCTAATCTCACCTCCAATATGTCAGTCTCATCCCATGCAGCTCTCTGAAAAGTAAGCTTTCCACTCTGCATCCTGCTTGCCACCTTTTATTGGCTTCTGTTCTGAATAAGTGAAAAACAGATACCACTGGAATAAACCGTGTTTGGATAAATCAAAAAGAACTTACGTTGTTTGCTTGGATACTGTCAACTAAATGGCATCAATTTACACTTATCAGCTTTCATTATTCTCTTAGACTATGGAGGAAATGTAACATCTCCGCTAACATCTATTTCTACCAGTTATGCTTCAGAACATGGAATCCAGGGCGAGCAAAGCAGATGCAAGCCCATTCCTTATGCAGGCGTAACTGGCTCAGCCACCTACAAATGAAGGCTGTTCTGGAAAGCGTGGGCCTGTGTCCTCCACTTCCATATTCCCATTGTCCACATTGCCACTTTTCTGACCCTGACAGAAGCCAAGCTACAGGAGGTACCCACTAAAAACCAAGCTGTAGCAAGCCAGGGAACAGTTCTCTGCCAGCATAGCTCCCTGACCCAGGACAGCACAGGAGCAGATACACTCAAGCGCCAAGGAAACACAGGGGCAACCGAGCCAGGGTTAGGGGCAGGCTTGCATTTTTTGGCAGCAAATTGCTATTAGACTGCCTGAGTCATAATATCAAACCATACCGTTTGTGTATTGAAATCCCAACCTAAAGTTGAAAACAGTCTTAATCTTAAATGCAATGGTGTTACTGTGTGGCTAAAACCAAAGTGAAAAGCTACAGCGAGGTGCTGTTACTGCACCACTGAAGAGTGCCAATGGACAGCGGAAGGCAGAGCTGGCCCCTCTCTGCAGAAAACTCAAGAAAGGGAGGCACCGCTGCTCTTTGTGGTTTTCCAAGCACAGGCTGACCACCCAGACTACTTAACGGCAACAGCTGCAAAGAATCAGCTTTGACCCTTGTCAAATTTACAGATTTCCAGGCATTACATTTCAATTCGCTGTTTCACTCAAGAAATCAAGTGCACTTTGAGGGGGGAAAAAAAAGGCTTTCCACATCCCTTTAACACAGAAAATTATTTTGTGTACTGACAACAGCAAGAAACACTTAACCTTCAGTCAGGTACAGAAAAAAATGCAAACGCTACATGGCAACCACTATTTTGTCCAAAACCAGGAATATCACCAAGTATCTCAAACAGCAGCATTGTGGAGAGATCCAGGCAGAGTCTGTTAAGAGACATGGAAAGAACCAGATAACTGTATCTTTCTCTGTAAATATCCTTTGTATGTAATCAACATTGGTTTTGAACTTTTTTTTTTTCCTTCCTCCCCTTCCAAAAGAACAGCAGCCAAAAACAGAAATGAGATTTCCCTGGGAAACTTAACACACTTTATTTTACATCTGTGAATGTTTTCCTTTTGTTAAGAAAATGTTACTTACAAAACCAGCATAGAACATTAGCATACAAATTATTCAGTGTACTGTACGCAGATGTCCCAACTCAAGGCAGAACCTGATTTCTCTTTAATTGTTGACTGCTATGATGTATCACTGAGAAGCATTTCCCACTGCATGCTATAAAAACAACACCCGATTGCAAAACCATGTGGCATGAGGTGCAATTCAAGCAGGCTTCCCAAAAATTCATAGATTTTCTGTATCAACATTGAGTGAACAAAATGAGGAAAACATTCTTGAAAACCATGATCTTTCTTGCCATAGCAACTGTTTTTGTTACCATTAGTTCTATAACATCAATTTTGAACAAACCAAGATGGACGCTTCCTGGCTCTTTCAATGATCCGCTTGCCTTCATCTTTTTCTGTGGGCTTTTCTCCCTCATAAAGGACAACAGTCTCTACAGTTGGAGCATTAAACGGTCCTCCTTCCTTTTTATGTATTTCCATCCTTATCAGTCGAGTTTCTGCTTTGACCTTTGCGTAACAATAGCCACAAAGGACATGTTTCTGTTTCAAGTTTCCACACTCAGGACAAACATCTATGTTCCTCTGAAAAAGACAGTGGAAAATAGGAAATTTTGTAGTTTGAACAACAGCAACAAAAGAAACAGGGAACAAATGTTACATGAAATACCAGAGAAATTCAATTGCCTTTTCAAAATTTATTGTTCTATGTAAAGTAATTTTTCTGTAATGTATCACTATTTCAAATGCTTACTACTAAAAATAGCCTATGAAGTCAATACCTAAATCATTGTGCCTATTGATGTTTGGAAGACTAAAGACCTATCAACTCAACTAGATGCACAGAAAGTATAGACCTTTTCCATTTATACTAGCTGTTTAGCTAAAATTAACATTTTGTTGGCTTGCACCTAAACTGTCACTGTTCATTTAACCACAGAGTACTGTCACACACAATGAATGTACCTGTTACAAAGTATTTTGAAGATTACACTGTCTTTTAAGTTTATTTATAAACAAATTCCAGAATGCTTTTTTTAGTCAGTATCGACCACTATAATGATACTGTAAAATAAGTGAGATGAAAAATGATTGGTATAAATCTTACTCCAGCATGCCTGTTTACCATTAACAAAACTATTTTCAGTGAATAAGGTGGAAAGCCCATGGAAATTTGGTGATTACCTTTACTTTTATAAGTTTATTGGGATTTCTTCGCCTGCAGCGGTTCACTTCAATGGTGCGCCTTTTCTTTGGAGCTGCCATCCACAAGACACTATCTAACAGGCTTGACATCTCATTACATTCGCTAGTGTCGCTTACTGGTTGTGGAAAAAAAGCCGGACCTTGGACAGCTAGTGCTGGTCCTGAAGGAAAAATAAAAGGTAATTCATTACACCCAACCCCCATTTTCGTGTACAGCCGAGGGAATTTGACACGGATGCTACTGACACCCCAAAAGCGAAGAGGTAAGAGCGGCTAGTGACGCCTCTCACCCCGTTCCCTCGCCGTCCCCAGGGCTGCGCGCTCTCCTGCTCCAGCCCCCTTCATCCATTCAACGGTAAAAATGAATCCCCCAGCACCGATGCTGCCCTCTCCTTCAGCCGAGAGATTAGGCCGGTACCTACCCCAAGGTGGGCTCTGGCCCCCGGAGAAACCCGGCAAGAGGCCACGCTCCAGCTGCCCCCC